ATAATAATTGGGTCAGGAAGCCAAGGGCAAACGTGCCTGATGAAAATCGAAATAGATATAGAAACGAAGATGAATAATCTTAGGAAAGATAAACACACCATGTGAGCTGGTTCACACTATAGTCGACCATTGTGTCGACCTGATATTCCACATTGTAAATCACCAACAATACGATCTTTTAAATCCATGAGTTTTTTCTGAGTCAATTAGAGTTATTTGAATGAAGGTTAGCCTTGTTCCTACTCACAACAGCGCTGTTTTCAAAGTGATGGCATTTTTTGTTAATATTTGGAAACGAAACAAAAAATTGTTGAGATACTAATTAAAAATTATTTACCCGATAGATTAATAGCGTTTATCACTGCACACACAATGTTATGTCATCTATGGCGATCGATAGACATTGGACTAAGATGTATGGCTTAATGAGATAATTAACATTAATTGGACCAAAACGTACAGGGTTCAGACGAACAATTTGTAATAAACAAATATGAAAACGTATCAGATATTATTATCCTTATTATTCAATGGCATTAATATCAATCAATTTAATCAAATAATTAATCAATGGAACTTATTCTGCAATGGTAATAATAATAAATTAATAAGTTAATAGTTAACAGCAACAAAGAAACAAAAACTGTAGCATTAGCGTCAAGATAGCAAAGATTCTACGAGAAAATAGCATGTACTTTTCATGAAGGTAAAGAGACAAATCGGCCAATTAGACGTTCAAGGAACGACTTTGACGTGGATATACGAAATTGGACACATGTGAAATAATAGTTGAAATTCCGATTAATAGTGAATAATGGACATTGGAGAGGGAGACCACATGATCATCTAAAGTTCATAAACTTACAATTGCTAGAATACACAAAAAGGTAACTTATATAAAAATGTCCGTGCAGTAAATACTAAATATGAAAGAGATTTTTACAAAAATGTGCATTTGTGTAAATGTTTCAGCGATGCTGAAAAGCGTATCTTTGTTTTGAAGACAAGTAAGAAGAATTCATTTAAATTAAACTGAAGAAATGCAATGTAAAATTAGCACATAATGCAAAAATTAACAAAGTGAGATATATTTAAAAGACCATTACATTCGAGTAATGTTAAAAAAATCAAAATATGTAATATTTTAAGTTGTTTATAAATCTGATAATATTTCGAATAAATTAATAAATGACTTGAAGCAATGAGTAATGTTGACAGATACGAAAGATAGTAATTAATTAACAATATCACAAGCCGAAAAGTATAAAAAAAATCTACTAGGAATATTATCTTACGTCTTTGTTCGTATACATGGTTATCAGTCTTTATGGTAAAATCTTCAATGTGAAACATATTGTATGTGTGTAAGGTCATGGAAATGTAATAAAACAATGATGGGAATTTAGTAAACAAAAGATAAAATTGTAAATTAAATATATTATCTTCATTACATTTTAATAAAACTCTCTCACAATCAATTGGACGTACAAACAGTAGTAGCTAATTTCTGATAAAGAAAATTTAAACATTAATTTAGTTCAATGATCTTTAAAGCAATGTACGTTTTCCGCAATTAAATTTTTAACAGTTTTTTTAGATTGTAGCGTGAAAAATGCCAAATTATTATCTTCACCGCAAAAGCTTCTCTCACAACTAATAAATACCCAAAATATTTAATAACAATAGATCAACAACAAGTTCTTCTTTTGGAACAAATACGTTACTAGCAGAATGAATTGAATCATTATCTAACAAATCCAAGAACGGTAATAATACTCCTTGTTTTATGTTTATGAACTAAACAAATTAAAAAAAAAACATATTTGGAAAATGTGTAGATACCACTAAATATTAAATGACTTATTTCTTGTAAATTCACGACACAATATACGTTAATGAGATATTTTCCTCCAATAGCACTTATTTCTGTAATATGTGTTACACAAATGTTTCGTACACTTGTTACACACTAGTTACAAGCACCTGTTACTAATTACACACTTGTGACAAACTTGATATATACTTGTGATACGTTTGATATACACTTCTTATACACTCGTTTTATAGTCATTATACACTCGTTTCATACACGTTATACACTGGTTTTCTAATCGTTATACGCTTGTTTTATACTCATTATACACTCGTTTTATACTCGCTATACACTTCTTACACCCCTTTTGCACACCTGTTACTCACTTATTACACTCACTTGCTATTTACACTCAGTAAAAAAGTGAAGAAGTGGAATATGAATTAATTGTTTAATTGATATTATTGGAACGGAGTATCGCAGCAAGATTTATACTGAAACTCGTTCTGAAGGACAAGATGAAATCAAATAACATTATTATTGAACTTTGAGAAAAGCTATTTCAACATAAAACAATAAATTTTTTTCCAGCGTAATTGAAATACTATTCAATTTCTCAAGATGTTCTTCATTACGATGAATTCCATAACGTTTAGAATGTGTAATTTTTCTCTCCGTTACGTCACACGCAACTTTTTAAAGTATTCTAACTTTAAATAAATAAAAACATAAATAAGTATAAACATTGTTCTTGTTTCCTTCCTCGTTTTGGAGAATACATTTTATATAGGTTTTCAATCATAAAATTGTGCAGAAAATTATAACGTTATGTATTTTACCCGTTCAGTGAGTAAATTGGTGTAAATCATACACTTGATACTCTCTCAGAATCTAATATTCAGAGTACAATCTTTAAAGAAGAGATTAGACGGCAAGAATTCCTTAAAACTCTAATGAATAGAAATTGGGACTATAATTTAAGTTCAACATTATTCTATTGCGTTTCATTCATTCATGTCTATTTTTTCTATATATTCTATAGAGCTTCCGTACTATATTAATAAAATGTAAAACAATTAACAAATATTTGACAAAACTTGAACCGACTAACAAAGAACGCAAGTTAACTGCTACATGGCATCGTTCATACCATTTGCTACTGTACCACCTGGTGTGATACTTAATAACACTACTCGCTTCGGGGGGCCAGTCCTGCCCAGTAACTGTCGCGGCCAATCTTCACTGCGGCCTCGGTGCTCATACTTGACTCACCGTATGAGTGCGAGCAAAACCATTTATTCGTCAAAAAGTGGTTAAAAATCGTAATCCTTTTCAATCCTTCATGTAAGCTCTCCATCAACATCAAAGAAGTGTAAAAATTTAACAAATGTTTTCCCTCTTTGAATCAGTTTTCTTCCCACTAATTGCCATTCGAATTTCTTCTCTTGTTTTGCCTTTCGTCTCAGGTACACAAAGATAAATATACGCCACTCCGAGAAAGCACATGACACTGAAAATAGCGTACGTAACATCTTGCCCAAGGCTTACGAGCATTGGGGGGAACTGCGACACTACGATGATAACCAATAGGCGGCTGAAAGCAACGGACACTGCGCTTCCCCAGCCTTTGGCCGACACGGGAAGCAGTTCCGCCATCATGAACCACGACAGAGGCCCAGGGCCAGCCGAAATCATGAACATGTACATGATCATCGCCACCAGGGGCACCCACCGCCACTCGGACATGTCGAACCCCTTGACGCCCAAATGCGAGTACACCGACATGACCAGCAAACACAGTCCGGTGGAAACCCCGGTGATGCCCAAAATCACCCGCCGGCCCACTCTGTCGACAGTAAACGTCGGGAGTAGGGTGCCGAAGACGTGAATGACTCCCAGTACAACGGTCGCCATTTCAGGGGACATGTTTGTTTGTGCATCGCGGAATACGTCGGTGGTGTAGTATATGAAAATGTTGACGCCGTTGGCCTGCGTGAAGAACATGATGCCGAGAATGATAGCCATCGTCTTAGCGGTGGTGCGGTCGATCTGTGGCAGCATACAGCAGCCGAGGAACGGTTTCCGCGGTTTGGCGTCGAGCGGTTTCTTCACAACCGCGTTCAGGGCGTCGAGCTCCGGCTGAACGTCCACGTTTGGCCCTCGCAGCCACGCCAACGCACGACGAGCCTCATCGTCGCGGCCGCACGTCGCCAAGTAGACGGGCGATTCGGGCATCCAGCAGAAGGTGAAGAGGAAGGCGACGGGCGGGATAAGGGTGGATGCCGTGTACCACGAGTAGGGCAGGAACGCGCCCAGCAGGTACACCCAGAGCATGCCGGTGCACAGCATGAGGTCGAGGTAGGAGCCCAGCGTGCCTCGCACGCGCACCTCGGCGATCTCCTCGCAGTACATGGACACGAGCACCACGCCCGCGCCCACGCCGAAGCCCGTCAGGAAGCGCCCCGCGAACAGCATCCACACCTGAAACGATCGACATTCCATTCCATTCCATTCGACTCGTTTCGATTCGATTCGACTCGTTTCGATTTATTTAGTCAACAAATGTATGTGACGTATGGAGGAGAGGATTAACTGCGCACGGTTTCTTGAGTTCCAGAGTTCCTTCCCATCATTTTAACTATAAAAAGGTGAAAGATGAGTAAAAGTTAACGATAAATAAATGAAAATTAAATTTTAAAAAATCGCGCGATTAGCAATATTTGAAACACATAGACATGTTCGCTTCGATTCCACGTGGTTTATGAAACTGGTTTAGATCTGGAGGGGTGGCTAAGGACATCAACTGATGTCACTCCAGTGCCTCTGGTTGTAATTGAAAAAACAATATCCTTCAATGTCAAGATTATATTTATACCAATAACTCAATATCGAAAAATTAGAACAATGTTGATTAGAAAGTACCTCCAAAACCACACGATTTTTTTGTGTAACAGGTTAAAGTAACTTAGTCCATGATACAGTATTATAAAGAATACGGAAAGTGCATTGATAGTTGAAAATATTTTTCTTTTCGTAAGGAATTAAATTCAAAAACATTGTCTCGGCATCACAATGTAATCCGCAACCCATGTTGCACATCTGTTTCCTGTCACATTGACGGTGTCTTGAAAACGTAAGTATTGAAAGAGTCCTATTAATTATTTTTCTCGGGCCATTATATTCAAAATTAGTGTCTTCTGGTCCTTTCTTTCCTTTTTTGAGAGGGTTGGCTCTTATGGTTACCCTTTTGTACCCTTCTTATTGCATATTGTAGAACTATATGTAAAATTAAATTAACAAATTAAATTGACCGTAATGCAAGTTTCTTCTTAATAATAAAAGCTTAGAAATATTTAATTTTTTAATTATTCTCACTGTCAGGAATACGTTACGTAAGGCACAGTGCAAGGCCTAAATATACAATGTGCAAATCATTTGCCCGAGCTCAGTTAGTTATTTAATAACTGAAGATATTGTGCGAGCACAGCAGCCACAGCAAGCGTTCCGCTATATGTAAATACTGATATTTCGATTTTGGTGGAAGTGTGTCTCATCTCGTCAAAAAGAGAAGTCACACTTTCACCAAAATCGATATATGAACATTTACATACTGCAGAAATCTTATAATGGCTGGCCCAGCTTATCTTGTTACTTGATCAGGAAGGGCGCAATCCGCAATGCATGAGTGAATAGGCGCACCTGGTCTCCAGCGCAAAGGATGAGCAGCCAGCCAGCGATGACCGGCAGCTGGATGGCCAGCAGCGCCCTCTTGCGGCCGGCGTGCACCGCCAGCAGGCCGGCGGGCAGCGCGCCCACGAGCGAGCCCACGGGCACCAGCGCCGACATCCACGAGGCCTCGTCCAGCGACAGGCGCAGCGGGGAGCCCGGCTGCTCGCCGCGCAGCACGTCCAGCACCTGCGCCGTCCACCCGATGGACGCGCCCATCGACACCGACATCAGGTTCACTGCGGCACCAACGCACCACTCAGTCGCAGTCACTCTAGTCCCTATGGCCGGGAGGTCCTAGATTTGAGTCTCGGCGGTAGCTTGTCAGCCAGGTCGAATTCAGTCGCTGACTGGAGGAGAATTCTAGCGGCCGGCTGCTCTGGCCGGTAGTTTTCCCTGGTTTCTCCGATCAACACCAGACGAATGCCGGGGCAGTACCCTAACAAACGGGCCTCAGTCAGCGCGAAATCTTTCTTTCCCATTCCTTGTCCTTTCGTCACCCCCTACACACACGTACACTTACACGCAATATACTATTACACATGCCGGGAGACCGGTTGGGAGCTTAGAGTTTGTCCATGATGAGGTGGTGCTCCGAAGGGGAAGAGAACTGGAGAGGGAAAACATCCTCAAGCCAATGTAGATGCGGGCTCCAGATATTACTTTCCGGCGGGAGAGGAACTCTTCCATCTCCCGAGGTGTAACATGCACTACACTTACAAGACTAATGAGCCAATTTGTTGACCCGTCCAGAAGTATTAGAAAATAAATTTAGCCTATCGACCCCAACTAACGGAAATCTCAACATCGCACTACCAAGCTGCGCGAGCTAAGCAACATCGTGCATGGAATTCTAGGGTTTGAGTTCCGACGGGACTGGGGTGTGTATAAGGAGGGAACAAGGAAGGAATTTCTCTCAACATTTTCCGCTGATGTTACTACGATACCGCGAACCAAAGGTCATTCATAGGGCTTCTCATTCATAAACTACCGAAATCAAGTTAGCCTTAGACAATGTTTTTTTCAGTTAAGGTCGCATCAACATCTAGGCCATTAGCGACCACTATTGGAAGATGATATGCTATGGTGATGATCGGGGGTGAAAGGGCGAACACAAATGCAACCATACCCGAGGCGGGACCCGAACCCCCGATCCTTAGGTCCGAGATCGCTACGGCACTACTGCCTTATCGATCTCGTCCATCCTGATCGGCAAGTTTACTTCAGACAATGTTGACTTACTCAATTCTGCCGAATAATTAGAGAGTACATTTGATACTGTTTTGCTGGATTACAACTTCCGCCTTATTTACAAGAATTTTTCATTCAGTGCGATGGGACCTGCACTCTAGTAGGTGTTGAAAATATTCTATCGTAAGCGGCCGTGATCGGTTCCAAATGTGTCCAGGTCTGCAACATGGGCTAGGCAAAGGGTGCAAATTGACTTCGGCCTTCATGTAAAATTGAATTCGGCATCATATTGGCATCAATTCTTGGAAAGCCTTACGTTCAGAGATTAAGTACAAGAATCTCTTACGAACTTCGCAGCCGTGTGAATATCTGAATACCTATATTGAGCTTCATATGGCACAACCTGACTAGGAAATAAATAGCATTTTGGCTATCAATGTTTAAGTGGTATTTTCGCTAATTTCGAAAACTAGTGAAAGTAGAACGCCCATATATAGCATTTTTCTAATTTGGCGTACTGTTCAAAACAAAAGATACTTAAATATAATTGAGGTACTCTGCAGAATACCAATCATTCCACAATAATGAAAATTAATTATACGAGTATGAAATGAAAGTGATGTGACAATATGCATTGTGCATTATATTTTTTATACATAATTTGAAAACTAACATTTTTAAGTTTCGCATTTGTTATTGATCGTTTTACAACAGTTAATTGATAACTTACATTTTTTATCATGAAATACTCGTATTCGAAATTCTTTGATTACTTTCTATCACTAAGTAATTTTCAAGGCAGCAAAAAACGGAGTGAAAAAGATGTTCGTTTATTAGCATGTTACACACGTATTTTAAATACACAACAAAAATATAAATTTTAAACATCAATTATAAATTGTAGAGAGGCAACCAAACCGGTAGAAATAGGGAAATTAACATTTTAATTCGAAATTGTATTTTAAAACGCACTTGTGAGTAAGTATGCATTGAGAAAAGACTAGTTGATTTGAATGAATATCTACTATCGTAGTATGGATCAAATATCTTAGGGCAAAGAACCAATATAAATATTAATAAACAAACCGTAAAATAATGCAGACGGAGTAATGATTTATTTTGTTTCCCTTTAATATTCGTTAAAAATAAATATTGTTAATATACACGGTCAGGAAGGAATGATAATTTTATCGCCTGCCCCATCAAATCACAAATTTAGGTATGAATACAAGACAAAATATGCTTTTTTCGTAATTGTGGAGAGATAATAATTGGGATACGGGAGCACTGAGAGATCTCACCTATACAAGCAGCGAGATGCTGGCGCCACCAGAAACTGTTAGCGCTGCTTGATGGCTGCTTAGCTACTGAGTCCCCTGGAGTGTCCATGGTGTTCTCCTGTTGTGGCATCGTCCAACACAAATGCCCGTATGTCGGCGCGCCGGCCGGCCGCACGTCCAACACGGCGCTAGTGCGCGCCTCTACGGCGTGGCGCAAGAGGCCCTGGCGGCGTCAAAGAACAATCTGCCCAAGCGGCCTCTGCCAGACAGCGTATCGCCAACTAATGTCCTGACTCAAGGTGAACTCTGGACTCAGTGAACCAACGACGTCAACTTCGTCGCATGGAAGAAGGTTAAGTAGTGCGGCCTCCGCTTCATTCCTGCCTTATATCTGTGCAGTTTCTTCTGGCAGCTGCGTACTGGTTGTGTAAACACGCGCTGTTTCTGGGCGCGATTTGTTTATCTCGTGGGCCGCTATGCTTTCATCAGATGATGAGTCTTCCTGATGTGTAATTCAGTAATTACATAATATAACAGCTTCGTTCAAGAATCAATTAAATAAAGGACATTCAGGGGGAAATATTAGAAAATAACTGGATTCTAGATTAACAGTTATACGGATATTTGACGTAAGAACTGGCAAAGATGGCTCAAGACATCAACTGTTGTCACTGATGACCGGGAAGGCGTAGGGTTCGAATCCCGACAATGGTCGGTCTTTCAAGTCTAGCTTCATAACTGGGTCGAGTTCAGCTGCTGCCTGCAGGGGAATTCTAGGGGCCGGCTGCCCTGATCGGTACATTTGCGTGGTTTCTCCCCATCAACGCCAGAAGACAGCAAAAGCAGTACCGTAACAAAAGTCATGGACCACGCACGATCATTCTTTCCCTTTCCTTGTCCTACCCAACTCTCAATTACTTACACTTACCCTTATTCATTACACGCCCACACATGCCGGGCATGCGCGGACCCACGGGAGGGGAAGGGGGAAATTATACCCCCCAATTTAAAAAAAAATAATTTTAGTAATTTTTTGGTAGTATTTTTTTGAAATTTCCAGTAACCAATAATTTTAGCTTCCCACGAAAGTTTTAATTAACTAGAGGTGCTAAAACACCACGTATTTACTTTCAAGCCCGTATTTTAACGTAAAATTATGAGAAAAGCACTTAAAGTTTCGAAAAATTGTAGATGATCTTATTTCAAAATTTATCTTTAAGGAACAGAATTCAATAAGGGAAAAATATTTATCTTTAATACTTTAGTTGTAGGAACACTCCGAAAAATATTAAACTGTTGCAATTATCAAAAAATCAGGATTTTTAACGCACATGAGACCTGCACCATTCTCTTAAACGTTCTTCACACTATCTAGCAAAAAAAAATAAAAAAAAATGGACCATCTTTTTAAACAAAATTTAAAAAACGTCCCAGTGGATTCATGTAAAGTATCCCAAAAAAATAAAATATCGGTTTCAAATTCTAGAAGCCGTGACATCAGCCAGATCGGTTCGAGAATAACAATTTTGGAGAAAATGGGCTGAACGGTTAAGCCGCTAGCGATGTTCACAGACGGACAGACAGATGCTTTGGAAGCTTATTTATTTACATAATAAAAACTAGTTGAAGAGAAGTGAGAGTTGTGTTTATTTGGTATGTGAAGTTGAATTTATAATATATGGTGATTTCGAATGCCACGGACCTATCATGATGTGTAACTAACATTGAGAATTCAAAAGACAATCTGTACCATAAAGAATACATGATAGATCAAAACTGATATTCCGCGATCGACCTGACTAATATGGCGACCTAATAAATTTGAAACAGATAATTAAAATTTTGGGATTACATTTCAAGAAACCTCAAGGTCATATTCAATTTTGTAAAAAAATGGTTACAAATTTTTCGTTTGATTTTTTTCGGTTTGTACGCGTATACAAAGAGCGCAATTCGACTTTCGTTGAATTCTCTGAATTTTCAAAACATCCAAACCTTTAATGTTTTCAGGCGTTTCCCTACATCTACAACCCTACTAGAGGTATTTTTTCTACAAATTATTTTCCCCCACAATTAGTTCCTGTATTAATGACATGTACATTTTTGAAAATAGTATGAGTTGGTGAAATTTCAAAAACAAGATTTTCTCATCAACGGCTCCCAATTTTTCTTTTAACTTTTTGTACGAGAATAGAATAACATGGCATAAACGCCTTTTTGAAGTATCCTATGAGTTTTTTTTTTAAATACCCAATTTTTTAAAATATCTCTCATGTTGTTAATACTTACATTACGGATATTTTGTATATACTTTGGAATTTGTGAGTACGAGTGCTTCAAATGGTTTCTCATGAAGTTTATCGAAAACTCAAAAGTTTTCTATGAAAATGAGCATTGAATCTGAGAGCATCAATTCACATTTCTGTGAAAATAAGTCAAAACTGCACATTTCAGAAACACTCAAACGACATTTTATGAAAAACGGCTTCAATTATATCAATCAAAATTCGCTTAAAGGACCAAGTTTTACTCTTCTATAAACATTCTTGACGTTCTTTTAGGCTCCTATTGTTAGAATTTGGGAAGAGGTTGGGGTAATACCAATACGCTAGCCTACACGTAAAATGTGTCACAAAGCATGTTCCATTCTGTAGCACCGCCAGTTTTCTTCTTGATAAAGTGAAGAAAATTTTTGTGACAACACAAAATATATTGAGACATGTATTGAAAACTAGTGACTTGTTCGCATTAATGGCAACAATGACACATAGTTTTGAGATTTATCTCACAAAGTCAATCGATTAAATTTAAAAGATTTTTACTTGGCCGGGTTCTTTAACGTGCAAACTATTACTAGAAAACTTTCAAAAAATGACAGGAACTAACCGTTTTAATAATAATTGAATGTCTGATTTTGGATTTGAAATTTCCTTTTACTCGTATTGTGCAGAATGTATCTTCATTGTCTCCGAGAGGTATGCAGTGGAAAGAGAACATTGCGTTGGAAACTAGAATGAGTCATAGATTATTTTCTGTAGGAGTCTGGGTAACTGGCGATATCCCCAATTTGGCTCTGTACAGGCATAGCTCTGCCCAAACTTGCACCTTCAATAATAATAATAATAATAATAATAATAATAATAATAAATGATGATGATGATGATGATGATGAAAATCTGCCCCGTGGCGCTGACGGTGGTAGCAACCGTCGTCTGGGCCGAGGAGGCCGCGGGTTCGAGTCCTGCGTAAACATGGTCGTATTTGTGATTGTCCCTTCACCCGTCATCATAATTCTATCATCTCATAATTTGCACATCAAGGCGTAACAACTTTGTCGTACTGAGGGATAGAGTTGAAACTTTGATCCTGGAGAAGTTACACACATTAATAGTGTAGCGTGGTCAGTAATGGCGTATACGCCAATAATGATAGTAGTAGTAGTAGTAGTAGTAGTAGTAGTAGTAGTAGTAGTAGTAGTAATGGTAGTAGTAGTAGTAACGATGTGGTATTAAAATAAATTTTGATTTCGGTCACTCTGTTTTCGTTTGGTATACCCTGTGAGATTCCGCAGCAGTGAACGAAACGTCCTTGGAAGTTGTAACACTGCACCAGGTGGAAGTCGATGAGATCTGGTTCGTTATCTCGCCATACGGTCTTTAACCCTCTTCTTTGTGTCTCTGAAAGTGGAATTAAAATTTGACCACTAGAAGCGGAGTAAAACAGTTGTTTAGTGGGGTAGTTTATTGTAGAATTGATTGTATATTACTTTGTAATATAATTAATGTATTTAATAACAACAAAAACAATAATAATAATAATAATAATAATAATCTAAAAAAGACTGTTTATAAAATTCTCCAAGGAACTCCCGAAAGGTCTCACTTGTGTCATCACGTATTTGCTGCCCAAAGCGGGAGACAACTCTTCGGCGAAGAACTACAGGCCAATCACTTGCCTGCCAGTACTGTACAAAGTTATAACTGCAGTAATAGCTGACAAAATGTCCAGACACCTACAGAGGAACCATCTGATGCTACTTGAACAAAAAGGATGTCGTAAAGGTTGTTACGCCTGCAAGGAAATTTTGCTACTAAATAAAGTCATCTTGAATGATTTAAAGAAATGAAGTGTAATTCAAGAAAGGATTTTATTGACTACCAGAAGGCCTTTGACCGTGTACCACACCATTGGATTTTGAAGATCCTGAAGATCTATCGATTTCAGCCTAGTTTTGCAAGGCTAGAATCAAGTCGTGGAGTACCAGGTTACTAATATATAGCGGAAGGGAAATAGTAGAAACAAGAAGTATTTAGATCAACAGGGGAATTTTTCTAGGCGATTCGCTATCCCCTCTGCTTTTGCAGAGTTTTGCATTAGTTTAATCCCACTATCTAGATGGTTATCGTAAGCTGACTTTGGTTACATGTTCCGTGGTGATCAAAGATTAGTATCACATTTGTTTTACATGGATGATCTTCAAGTGTTTGCTAAGAATGAGGCGATTTTCTTCCAAATGATGCGTGACGTGAATGACTTGATCAATGACATCTGCACGAAGTTTGGTCTTGACAAGTGTACAAAAATCAATTTAAAGAGAAGCAAAATGACGTCAGGGGGCATTGAAGTTGATACACATTGTAATTCACGATCTGGAGCCAGGCAAAACTTACAAATATCTGGGCACTGAATAATGTGAAACCATCTCGAACGACACAATGAAAGAGAAAATTGGTAATTACAGGAGAGTGAGAGTCGTCCTGCAGTTCGCTCTGAACTCCAGAATTAAAATGTCTGCAACTGGTAGTTTGGCGGTACCTGTAGTCGAGTACAGTTTCGGACTCGTCGACTGGATTGAGCTAGAAATTCGAATCACAGATCGAAAAACCAGAAAACTGCCAACAATGCATCATGTCACCCACCCTCAAGCTTATGTACACAGACTTTATGTGTCACGAAAGGAAGGAGAAAGAGGCCTCCCGATACAATGCAACAGTCGGGATGGGAAAGTATGTAGTCAGTCATCAAGAAGTCCCTCTAATGAGGCAGGCCATGATATCTGACCGGAGAATGGTAAACAGAGGCATTGTTAGTGTGGCAAGAAGCATTGCAAAGAAAACTATGCATGTCACGCAGAAATTGCTTCACTGCTCGACAATTCTACCGGACGGCTGCTTATCGGGAGTTGTCCTGTCGAAGTATGCAATGAATATCACGCGAATGCCACTTCCATGACAAACTGCCTACTACCGTGCACTATCTTTTCCCCCACCCTGATTTACTCATACACACTTACGCCCACTACACTCCCACACACGTCGGAGCTCAGAGTTTGTCCCGACTGAGGAGGCGCCCCGATAGT